GGGTGGTAAAAAGTTATATCAAAATTAATTGTTTTCCCCTGCCTTCAGATATATTATTTTCACGCCCCTACTCCCCACCCTTAGGTTATCAGGTTCAATCAAATTTACAAAACATGAAAGAAAGAATAAAATCCAACTACCTTTAAAAATAACGAACGCCCTAAAATATGGTTTTGTCTTAAAAAAGGTGTTCTTACAAGAAATCCTATCTGTATGGTAAATACTAAATACCAACCTCAGGTAGTTATATGTATTTTTAGAAGACAATTGAGCTGTTCTGTGATTGAACTAAAACCCAGTGGTGGATTTCTGTAATTAAACTGTTGGGGTATCACAACAAGCGCAGCGGACAAAAATACCCCTCCAACAAATATGGCAAGTACTACTCCAAAATAAGCCAACACAAATAAAAGACGAGAAATAAAAAAAATACAAAAATTGATAACGGAGTTCGGCGAAAATAGCCTACGTCTCCGGGCACCGCCAACCGCAACGCCAAATTTACTAAACTCACCAACAAAATACAACTAGGGTTAAATAACCCACAAAATAGGATTTCCTTAATTAAGGATTTCCTTCTAAATAGGAGAGAATAGAATAAGGTGCAATTGTAACCCAAAGGCAAGGGACCTATTTATACTAATAAGATCCTACACATCTTTGGTATACATCCGATGTGGGACAACAATTAATCAAAAAACTAACATAAACAAATTATACAAAGTATAAAAAAGGTGTTCTAGTTCTTCATATCAACTCTCGAAGTGACAGCCTTATGAAGGACGTCGCGTGTCTTGAAGCTGGTGAATGTTGACAAGTTTATATGCTTATAAGACATAAGATTTGCTTAAGATTATCTGGATGACCGACCATTCTGTTTCTACTTTCGTACTATATGAATTCCTAAAAAAAAAAAAAAAAAAAAACTCAGCAGTTTTGTGGTGATTGTTGCAGGAACTATAATTACGGAAAAATAGGCCAAGCCATTAAGGTTGACTTGTTGAACCATCCCGAATACCTTGAACAAAATGCGACTCTCGCATTCCAGGCCGCAATTTGGTCTTGGATGACGCCTCCCGAACGCAAAATACCTTCTGCCCACGATGTCTTTGTCGGGAACTGGAAACCCACCAAGAACGACACATTGGCCAAACGTGTAACTGGATTTGGAACCACCATGAACGTCATGTACGGTGATATTGTTTGCGGTCAGGGTGATATTGATGCAATGAACAACATCGTATCTCATTATCTCTATTATCTGGACTTACTGGGTGTTGGTCGGGAGTTGGCTGGACCTCATGAAGGACTCACCTGTGCCGAACAGGTGCCTTTCACCAAATCACCATCTCCTAAATCATCCTCTTGAGAAAAAGAAAAAAAATAAAAAAAATATGCATTTCCTCGTGATCGTGTGATTATATTTGTAATATGTGAGTGATATGGTGTTTGGCCTATTTTGTTTGTTTAATTAATTGATTGTGATACTTCAAAACTTGCGCACTTATATAGCGTATTCTTATTTTGAGTTGTAAGAAATTGAACTTATATTGTACTTAATTGGTTGGTTTTGTAACCTTCTGTTTATAAATCCGTTTTATTGATGAAGCCTAAATGTGAAGACCGAAACCGTGGGGGATAGTTGAGGTAACGGTTACAAATCTCGACGGACTGGTTCCGTAAAAGAAATATAGCATCTCTTTAGAATAAATGTAATATATTAGTAAATATAGTACTCTGAAATGAACTATTTAAAATTCAAATAGTTTAGTATATAATTAAGTTGTTTTGTATACATATAATTAAGTTGTTTTGTATACATATAATTAAGTTGTTTTGTATAATGTATGATATGTCATACTACCATCATAAATATTTGTTCAATCAACTGATTTACATATGGGCACAACATCTTTGTGGTAAATTGAATTCAACAAATACTTTGTTCAACGTTGAAACAAAATGTTAAAAGTAAAACTGTAACAGTTAAAAATTCAACTAATTCTAACAAAATGATACTGGCATACCAGAAGGAAATAGAAAAAACAACAGAATATTTAATGAAATTTCCTTTTTATAGCAATACAAACATGTCTATATATTAATATATATATATATAGATAGATACACCTGATAGATTCAAAGGGATGTTCTTTTTTTTTTTTTTCTCTTATGGTTAATCATATATTACAAAGTTGCCCATATGTATTATCAATTTTTATTAATATTGTAAATTATTCATATAATTAACATGATTCAAACATAATTATTCTGACTATTTTTTTTTGATATATTTAAAGTGTTTCTGATTGGTGCTAAAAACTTAATATCTGCAACTATAGAACAACAATAATAATATAAATAGTTAAATCACTTATCACACTTATTATGGATGAATTCATTTAATTGTGTCGACAAAATTACTGCAAAATCATTTCAAGTAGTTATTAAAAGTATAAATTACCAATCAATAATTCTATTCAATTCAACTTATTATAAATTAATATTAACCATTAAATAAATAAAAAAAAAATCTATTTATGAAATTTGCTGCAAAATAAAAAGTTAACTACATACCAAATATATACACATAAATTTTCCCGCTCAAAATCATGTCAATTATGATAATATGAATTAGTCCATTATATAGAAATAGATTCAACAAATTCTTTATCAACATTGAAAGAAAATGATAAAAACTGTGTGTGTCATTGAGATTTCATTCTTCAGTGTTGTTTTCAATTTTCCTTGTGTTACTATAATAACCACATTTTGAATGCTGCCTCAAAAAAGACCTAAAAGAGCACTTGATAGAAAACTATGAAGCTCTAAAGCAAAAACACACACCACAGGACAAATCTCACAGCATATAACTCATGTTAAACGAATATGCATCAACCGCAATTTCTTTTATCTCTAGCAAAGATGGTTGAGTACCAGAAAAGTCACTCGAGTATCCATGTGCGAGAATCGTCAAGATTCTAACTGTCCAAAGTATCTACCAGATATCGTCACAAGAATATTGAGAATAGCAACTTCATCATCCACTTCATTTTTTGCAGCTCTCAGGCTTGCGCACTTTCGGAGTAGAGACCTGAGCGATGCGCTTGTGCCGGCATCAAGTGGCCAATCGACGGCCACACAAAGAGCAAACAACCATAAGCTCTCATCACGAGGTAATGTGTCCATATTCTCTATGCAACTTATCCGCCTTTTCAGCATTGAAGTTCGAGCAGCAAAGTCCATTTTCAAAATCATAGAGAGGGCCGGGGTTTCGACTGTGAAATTGGAATCCTCCGGAGAACGTGTATTGGTTTTAGCATCATCTTCTATTTTTATGTTCACAAATTTCCCAACACTGGTGTTAATTTCAAGCATCTGACCCAAAATATCATCTTCATCGGTGAACGGGTGCTCTTCAGTTGAACTTTTCAAACGGGAAGCCTGTGGGTCGAGCCGCGAGAAGGCCTGAAAGAAAATTAGGCAGTTTCATAGGTATGCCAAAAGTTGAAGTTACAAGACAGCGTAGAACACAACAGAGATGCTCGTATATTGCTATAACTAATTGCTTTGTAACTACAAAGACAGATACGAACTGAAAGTTTCTCCTCATTATCAGTTAGCAATAAAAATTACTATTTAATGAGCAATCTCGATATAAACTACTATTAATAAAGGATTAAGTGTATACTGACAAAATAGGACCCTTGTTCGTGAATACAAATGAGTATTCACAAACACGACTTGTTTAATAAAGAAGCTCGATTAGTTGATCTAGCTTAACTTGTTTAGTTATAGAAACAAGTTGAACTTGAGTTTTTACGATCCTAACTGATTTATATTCGCTAACAGTTCAGTTCAAATAAAAGCTCTAAATAACATGTAGCAGCCCGATGGCTACACCCATAAGCAAATGCAATTTCACTTCTGCCTATAGACAATATAAATAAAGACTGGTCCAAATGTCTTCAACATTTTTACATAAAATCCTACTGAAACGAGTTTGGAAATGAAAGCAGCTAGGCTAACATCATTTTCATACAAATCATACCTGTCTCAGCTCCGAGAAATCAGCAAGAAAGCTGTTCTCCCACTGTTTGAGTGGCAATATGTTCTCAGGGCACTCCATAATATCAGGAATTTGAGGCATATAAACACTCTGTTCTTTGTTTTTATTATTAACCTTGACAACTTTCACCTTCGGGATTCTATCAGCCTCCCACCTACAAAACAAGCAAGGCACTTTCTGCATTAGGACATAGGCACATATAAGATTCAAAATTGAAATTGAAATGTCAAATCGAATATTTGTCAACTGCAGGATCTTCTTGAAGAGATAAACATGATAGTAGTTATCTTCATTACATACATACCAAACTTTTTTATATTAGCAAGTCCCATATATCTGGGGATTGATGTGACAAAACAGAAACAAACAACCATGTAATAAAACTTCAATGCCTCCAACGACAAACTTATTACATCAAATTCTGTTATCTTTCAGAAATTGAAAATATCACCTTGACATGTTACAAACACCCTTAAGCTCAAAATAACATTGTGGCATTAGTAAAAGAGATACAAATGTGAACAAGTATTTGTAATTTCAAAAGATAACTACATTTTTCTTTATCATTAAGCAAAAACCTTAGAAGTATTATATTGTCTCAACTGATCCTACGTTAGCATTGATATCTAGTTATCTACCTCACAATGGATCTCCACTAATTCACTCACTACCTTGTGATCATAGCATGGCTATGCCGCAAAAAATGTAGATATATTTCTTTGGAAAAAGTCACTCAAGCAATTGAACATTGTAGTCCTAAAATAAAGATCAAGACAAAGACAGATTACCACCTTATAACAGTAAGTTGAAGTAGGATGTCATTCTCCAACTAAACAAAAAGAGCATGAAATAAGACAAAATTAAGAACTTGCAACTAAAGCAGCCAGAAAAAAATACACATTATTTGAACAAAAAGAACATACAATATTATCTCAACCACCTGACATACATGAGATTAAGCTCTGCATTTGTTTAGCATTTTATTCAAATCTACACGTATCAATCTTCTCCAATTTAACAAGAAGGAAATAAATAAGCAAAAAAATACCAAATAGTGTTCTATGAAGAGATCAAAGACACCACCACCACAAAAAAAAAAAAAAAAAAAAAAAAAAAAAAAAAAGAAAGAAAGAAAGAAAGAAGTCAGTTGAATTGCATCACCAAACAATCTGGAGGGAAATTGATGATTTATACCTTACACGCCTAAGATATTCAAGTCCATCTTGCGGAGGGCCAGAGTCAAAATCAGGTTCTCCTGTAACCAAAAAGGCTGGCCTTTGAATGCTACTGTAATCGTCATCACTTTCATCGTCTTCACTGAACTCTCCTTCCAATGCTGAGCATCCTATTTCATCACTAATTGGGAGACAGGAGGAAGGATCTGAGGTAATCAAATCTTCCGAAGGATTATCCAAAACCTGCCGGCAGCCTTCGCCTGTAACATGTAAGCAAGTTTTGTGCCACCCAGTCATATTAAGATATGCACATAACGAAATAGAAAAACCGAGGACATTCAAATTTTTTAACTATTTTGGACAGGCCAAAGTTGTACAATTCAAACAATATCTATTACATACCTCAAGTCTGATAACAGTTTCGTTCAACTTCTACAGGAAACGTTATCTATCAAAAGCCACAATTGCAAATGTCATCTGCCAATCATACTTTCATGTCAAATGCGCAAGTATTCTAAGTCTCAGTATCCAAAATTTTACTGGGCTAAAGTAGTCAAAACCCATTTTCTCTTACGGCAGCACAAAAGTCTATTTTAATGAAAATTATGCTTTTCACAAACTAGATTTTCCAGTGCACAAAACTAATGAGATAGGTTCCATTTCCCATAGCAGCCAGCACACATGTGCACATAGAAATATAATGCATCAAACTGATACAACCAGAAATGTGGAAGACATGGGACAGACAAATCACGTCCCCCAAACGCCACCTCAAAGCACCATATCCCAGCAAAGGCATGAAAACCCCACCCAAAAAAAAGGGACGACTTAGTAAAATTTAGAGAAATAATGAAAAGGTAAAAATCTTTATGGAACGAGTAAGACCACTGCTCTTTGTAACGAAACCATGAAGACGATAGGAAACAGTAAAGCAGAGTTAGAAAGAAGAGAATGGCCAAATTAATAAGTTGAAAACCATCTACATTTTTCTTCTCTGTGTCATCGTATTTTCGCTTTTGCCTTATCAACCAAAAGTTCCCACTTCAAAATAATCCAGATCGGTTATAGGCATATTGTCCCAAAATAAACAGAGAGAAAGAAACGGCAATAGAAGAAACAGAAAGGAAAAGATGATAGAAGAAGGAATAAAGGAAATGATACTTATCATTTTGGCAAATGCCTAAAAAATGCATAGAAAAAAAATATGAGTCTTCACATTTAGAATGAATGGGGTACGACAAACATCTTAGAGATATCAACACAACTTTACAAGGTTAATTTATCGGGGATAAAAAAGAATAGTACAGTATACAAAAAACACAAAGGAAAGTATGTTCAGTGGAATGTTAATCCGTTGTGTTAATCAGTTGAGTTCAAACTTGATTTTGATATAAAAAATACATAACTAAAGGCAAAGAGAAGATTCTTCCACTTTGTATGATAGGGAAAGGGAGAAGTGAGAAGACCCACACGGCATGGATATCATCTTTTGTATGATGAATCGTATCGTAAGAATAAGATATTCTCCTACTAACCATGCTAATCTGGTCGTTTGAATCTATTAACACTTAACATTTATCTCACAGTTATTAAACTTAAACACACTCCATGGGTTAAGGTTAACACCTGACGGATTTCACTACAACCTGAAGAGCAATAGGTAGTCAACTTAAACATAAATGCCTACCCTGATTCTGGATTAATTCAGTCAGTTAGTCGATCAAAAAAAGGAACAGAAATGTTTGATTAGCAAATGATCTTAGTATTTGCAATAATATTTGGTCTGATTCAAACAGCAAGCGGATGAATATAAAGTACGTTTTTTCCATCTATCTTTGCTCCATTTCACTACCCCTTAATGTTCCAACTTCCATAAAAATACATGCCCATTCTGTAAATACCAAACATACTAAACAGCATAATCATCATGACAACAAATATCTTTTTCACATCACTTGCACAAGCATCGAGCCTCATTTAAAGCACAACAATTTCAATAAAGTACCAAAGGCTAGAAAGAGAAAGCATACTCAAGTCAGCAGATTTCTGGAACTGAGAGCGTGGATCAAAGTCGAAATCAAAGCTCGGGAAACTATCCTCTTGACGAGTCTTTTCCGACTTCACCAGTCCATCATACTCCTGCTGCACCAGTGGACCAAGCCCACAGTACACCTCGACCCACCTCTTCTTTTGCTCTTCTACCCCTTGAAACCTCAGAACCTCCATTTCCTTTCTCGAATACCAATGCCCCTTCTTTTCTTTAATCTCAATCGGATAACAGTTTAAAACGGCCCTGTTCTTTCTGGCATTTCCTCCCCTTCGCCTAGGTCTTTTCCTCCCCGTTTGGCTCTTGAGCGCGCATTTCTCCGAACACATCACGTGCACTTGTTCTTGGTGGTCGCCTGAGGCACCTCCCACTTTTTCTAGGACGCTGATCATCGGATTGTCGCCCTCAAATACTGCGCCTTCGTTGCTCTCGTGCGCGGGAAGAAATGCGCGATGGTCGCTGTTGTTTTCGGGATCAAGAGCATCTGCAGATTGCAGTTCGGGTGATAGCGCTTCTACAGTTGTCCCGACAAGGCTCCGCCGGACATCCGTGGCGCCACCATCGTTAGAATATGATGGGTTAGCCGAGAGAAGAGAGCTTGCAGACATGGGAAGAACGGGAGTGACGACGGCAGTTGGGGTGGGTCTTTAGGGCATCTGCATCAACTACATATCCTTTTATACCATATAAACTAGTACAACGCTAGTGTGTATTAGACTAGTGTTTACTAATGCCCGTGAGTATTAGACGAGTGCTTACTAATTTTTTCTTAAAATCTAAAATTAATGAAAAAAATATAATTGAAAATTTCAATATATTTTATAAAAATGTCATTTTATACCATATAAACTAGTACAACGCTCGTGTGTATTAGACGAGTGCTTACTAACGCCCGTGAGTATTAGACGAGTGCTTACTAATTTTTTCTTAAAATCTAAAATTAATGAAAAAAATGTAATTGAAAATTTCAATACATTTTATAAAAATATATTTATTATTATATATTTAGTATGTCACTTTTTTACTTGTGCGACTTACTTGTGTTATATTATAATATGTTTTTGACTTACAACATATAACTACATCAAACATAAATATATCAATTGAGAAATAATTTTATTTTCTAATGAATTTTATAAAATATTATTATTTTTTATTATTATAAAGATAAATATGATTTAATTATTTCATATATAAAATATGGATATCAAATCGAAAATCATCAAAAGATGATTAATTTGATATATTATATATGTAAAACCGATAGGAAATACAAAAGTTATCAACTTTTAAAATACAATTACAATTCAATAGCTAATTGAATGAAACAAATCAAAAGTCATGTCTCACTATGTAAAATTACAAAAAAATATAGGGTTATATTAGTAAAAGTGATATCAAAATACCTAAGTTAGCTAAATAATATTTATGAAATGTCTGAACCTAGATTATTAATTATTAATATATCAATATTATTATTTGTCCAAACTTAATTACGAAGCATGATACTTCGCCAAGTAGGATTTCGAAACACCAAAAACAGGCACGTAGGTTAAGCGCATTCATGAATAATATATAGGGAGGATAGAGAGGTCCATATCTATCATTTTATTTACTATACGTCTCTCATTTAGGGCGTGTAATATATCTCTCTCCATTTACTATACGTAATTTTTAGTTAATCAACATTAAATTTTTTTTAAAAAAAAAAAATATAGTATTATTAGTTGTAAATGAGATTTTAAGTTTATATTACAATAATATTTATAATAAAATAAGTAAAGCTGATTTGTTGTAAAAGTAAAAGAACAATGATGTGAAGTGATAATTAGTTAAAAAAATTTTATTACAGTTTTTGTAATGTGCAAGAATAATTAATTAATATTATTTAATTATATTGATGATATTGAGGATAGTGAAATTGTGTTAAAGTTGAGTTATTTTGAGTATGAATTGAGTAGAGATGTTAAATGGTCCTTGGCTCGACGGGCCGACCCTAGCCCGGAAATAAAGGGTTAGGGCACTTTATTAATAGCCCATTTAAATCAGGGCTGTTTAGGCCCGGACCGTTTAGCTCGAAACCCGCTAGGGCTAGCCCGAAATCCACTAGGGTTGACCCGTTTAACATGGCTGGGCAGTGTAAATATTAGCATCAAGTAAGTAATATGCTCTTAGATTCCTTGCATATTACAATTTTGCTATTCCACTTGTCATGTAAGTATGAGTTGTAACGGATTATTATGATTTCGAAAGATAATTATTAACAATATTGTTATTGTACTTCACACCAAAATATTTAAGCAAATCAGAACGACTAATAGGAAACACATGAAACATAGTGATAGAATTTATAGTTAAAATTCCTAAAGCGTACAAAATAAGTAGTAAAATGGTAATTGGGAATAATAGTTGGAATATTTTTTTTGTTTTGAGAAAAAAACAAAAATGTGTTATTTAAAAGTTTGTAATGCGTGTTCATATATAATGTGTAGTTGTATATATAGAGAGGTAAATACTAAATAACCATTGAAAACAAGCGTTAACTAGTCGTTGTTATTTTTTCTATATTTTTTATTTTATTTTATTTTTGATATTTTTTTATATATTATTATTATTATTATTATTATTATTATTATTATTATTATTATTATTATTATTATTATTATTATTATTATTATTATTATTATTATTATAG